CCAACTTTCCCGCCTCTCCGGCCTTCTACCGATAAATGCTAGGAACGATGCCTCCACCGGGTTCCTGGTATAGAACCACTCCCCGTGCCACCCCGGGTTGGAGTCATAGGGGATGTACGTGGGATACGAGCCCCCCGCGCTCGGTTTTTTCTACAGGGCGAAGCCCCCCACCGGCGCAGCCTTGGGAGGATCCCCCATAGACAGAGTTCACCCAGAGAACAGCCACCGAAGAAGTCCACGTGCGGCTCCATCCCAAGGAAGGCCTCGCAAACGGTGACGAGGTGATATGCAGCACCCTAGTCAGATTGAGGTGCTGCAACTCCAAACTCCACTCATTAAGGAGCCCGCACAAGAACCAGTGCGCGGGGTATCCTAGCCCACGCTTGTGGAAGGCGAGGAAGGAAACCACCTCGATAGGCCGAGGTTGTGGGAAATCCTCCCTCTCGAGAGCCCTCTAGTGCGCCACCTCCTTTGACGGCAGAAACCCCTTCATGGTGAAGGCCTCCAGCACCGACTCCCTCACAGTGGATGATCTCCAGCCCAACATTTCACTCTGGGTTCACGAATGGATTTGTGAGTTTTCTCCTCTCCCTCGCTCTCTCCCTTTTCTCTCCTAGGAACCGCCGTGGTCCTCAGACGCTCTTGGCGAGAAGGAAGAAAGAGAAGAGACGACAGATGAGGAATATGCGAAGGAACAGGATGAAAGCCCTCTCCCTTCTACTTAAAGAAAAGGGCGCAGCTAGTTAGGGAAGGCGTGGCGATCAGGGAAAGGCGAAAACGATGGGGCAAAAAACCCTCTCCCTTCCTCATTTAATGTAGATGGGATACGATGGGACGCGCCCTGACCGATGAGACGCACCCTGCCCGACGGAACGGCGCCTGATCAGACAGGACGTGGCCTGGGTATGGCCCACCACTACCGCACGGCGAGCACAAGAACCCCACCACCACGCGCAGGCGGGACTTGGAAAAGGCCCAAACTACGGGATCTCTGCCAGGAGAGACCAACGGGCTTCCTGAGTCTGATCGAACGGCTTAGGCGAACACCGAGAGACAGGTAAGGAGCAAAGGGATGCCCCATATAGGCCATGCCGACTCCGTCACGAACAACGAGCATGGGTCCCGGTCGGACATTTCCGATTGGAGCTCTTCAAACCCCATCACTCGAGTCATCAAGGTAACACTACCGACCCCCACTATTTCTTTATATAATTATTTATACATTCATACACGCATTCATTCCATACGCACATGCCCCCCGGATGATTCGGGCCCTGAATCGCCCGGGGGCTCGAGAACTAAGGCATCGCACGTGCGGCGAAATGCATCACAACGCTCTGTGTTGCGTCACGAAGCGGTAGTTGCCTCATTCAACACGAGGAACGACCGAACAGGGTTCAAAGGCTGGCCAACAAAGGGCTTGAGGCCGCCTCACGTCAAACAGAACCAGGGGAGAAAACGCAGATGAGCCACGTGCAGCCCTCGCCCAGTCTACCCCAAAGCAGACAGGGTCATCTCAACCTTCTCATTTGACCCTAAGCCTCCGCCAAACCCACAAAATCTCCATCGAGGGGAGGCTAGCGGGCCACCCGGGTCGGTCTTCGGAACGACCTAGGCATCTGCCGGGTTGCAGGTAAAGGAGTAGTGGAATGTCACAAGAGGGCTATACCGACCCCGTCATGAACGACGGACCTGGATTCCACTCGATCATACCTGTTAGCGAGCTCACCGAGCACGTCACTTGAGCCCGAGCGATCGAGGCAAGTGACAAAGCTCAGCCCCCGGTTGTGAGAAACCGAGGATGGGGTAACGCACACAACTCAAACCGACCCCTACCAAGCCCAACGGGGCTCGGGGGCTCAAGACACTCCAAACACCTGGGTCTGCGACCCCGAACTCGCCCCATCCCTCGGCTGCACTCCAAAACGCCTAGGTATGTGATCCCAACTCGCCCCATTAGGATCCACGACTCCGACTCGCCCGATCCCACGGCACGCACCGACGCCAGGATCCGCGAGCTCCATCTCGTCCGATCCCTAAACTAACTGCCTCGGCTGCGCGGGCTGCACCGACGCCAAGATCCACGACTCTGACTCGCCTGATCCTACGGCGCGCACCGACGCCAGGATCCGCGAGCTCCATCTCGGCCGATCCCTAAACTAGCTGCCTCGGCTACGCGGGCTACACCGACGCTAGGATCCACGACTCCAACTTGTCCGATCCGACAGCGCGCACCGACGCCAGGATCCGCGAGCTTCGTCTTGTCCGACCCCTAAACTAACTGCCTTGGCTGCGCGGGCTGCACCGACACCAGGATCCATGACTCGACGGCTGATCCTACAATCCGCATGACGCCAGATCGACTCGATCGATCCCTCAACTAATCGCCTCGCCGCCGCGCTGGTCGCACCGACGCCAGATCCACGACTCGACTCGTCGATCCCACGCCGACCGATGCTAGGATCCGCGAGCTCCATCTCGTCCGATCCCTAAACTAACTGCCTCGGCTGCGCGGGCTACACCGACGCCAGGATCCACGACTCTGACTCGCCCGATCCCACGGCGCGCACCGACACCAGGATCCGCGAGCTTCGTCTCGTCCGATCCCTAAACTAACTGCCTTGACTGCGTGGGCTGCACCGATGCTAGGATCCACGACTGAGCCGCAATCCGCAAGACACCGGCGCTAGGATCCAGAGTCTCCGTCTCGTCCATCCCTAAACTAATCGCTTTCGCCGCCGCGTGAGTCGCACCGACGCCAGATCCACGACTCCTCGCTTCGATCGACGCGCAGCGCGCACCGACGCCAGGATCCACGAGCTCCGTCTCGTCCGATCCCTAAACTAACCGCCTCGGCTGTGCAAATGACGCCTTGGTTGATGACTCCGTCTCGACTAAAAAACACACACACACCCGCTGACAAAACCCCCAGACGATTCTGCCCGAATCGTCCGGGGGCTCAGGGGCTACACCCGCGGGTGCGCTCGCGCGCACCTACCGACAAAAACGAAAGCTTCCTCCGCTGGCAACACAAAAAAACCCCAGGCGATTCTGCCTGAATCGCCCGAGGGCTTGGGGGCTACACCCGCGGGTGCGCTCGCGCGCACCCGCCGTCGAAACAAAAATCCCCCAGACGATTCTGCCCAAATCACCCGGGGCTCGGGGGCTCCTGTCGGGTTCATAAACCCGGGGTCCCTCGTGGACCGGCTTCCCAACCAAAGCTCGGCCCAACAGACAACGTTGCGAGCAATGCACAACTCATGGGCCGGCCCAAAAAACCTAAACAACAGGCCAGAAGGGTGATCCAATCACCGACCGAAAGGCCTGGCCAAGGAGCGACGCCCGCTTTCCGACTCCGGCCCGCCTCTCCGACCGGAGCACTCGCTTCGGTCTCTAGCCCGCCTCCGAACAGCCTCTCCGATCGGAAAGCCTGGCCAAACACCGCTTTCGACTCCGACCCGCGTCTCCGACCGGGGATGCGCCAAACCCCTGCTCATTGCTCCTCCAACTGGCGCAATCAGAGCCGACTGGGACCAACCGACCGGGGACGCCCGCTCGGTGAAGACCAGGAAACAGACGGAGAAAGTAAGGCAGGTCGCACAAGTCAAACCTCAATACCAGGGACCATACCATGCGCACCTGCCAGGCAGTACCCTGTGACACTCCTGGCACGACAGAACTCAAGCAGTGTTGTAGGCGCCGACATTTTCCCCTACAGTGTTGTGGGCGTCATTAACTCCCATACCAGACGAATACGGTAAGACTCTCCCCACATGCCTCTAGGCATCGACAGTGTTGTGGACGTCGGCATTTACTGTACCAGGCGAACATGGTAAAACCCCTCACGTGCCTCCGGGTATCAACAGTATGGCAGGCGCCGACGTCTGCCATACCCGAGAAAGACAACACAACCTCCCACGTGCATCTGACATTCAACAGTATTATGGACGCCTACCATCATCCTATACCCGTCGACGTGGGTAACAAGACTTAGTAGCATACACGCTCTCTTCCTCTCACCTGTAAGGCCATCCCCTTCATCTATAAAAGAGGATGCGCTCTCTCCAACAAGATTCAGATTCATTCAGATCGGTCAAGTTCACTTAGCACATAGTGGAGCTCCCGTCACTCTCGGCCCCTCTGACCAGAGTCCGACCGGACCTCTTATACCCCTTATCTTTCTCCTTCTCGTTTGTAACCCCACTGCAAACTTCGAGCACCTGGGTTCAGAAATAAAGTCACCGACCGACTCAAACTGGACGTAGGGCACGTTGCCTGAACCAGTATAAACCATGTGTCATTGAGTGCTAGGCCACCTCCGATCACAACGTACGGTAAAACTATAAATATTTACGTGTTGGTCACTTTCTGCACCGACACCGATGCTTCTCCGTGGACGCGGCCGCAGCTCCGACCCCGATGCGCGACCCCGATGCGGACGCGGCCATGCCGATGGACGCGGGCGAAAGCTCCGCCCCGACTGATGTTGGCCTGCGAGACGTTGAAGAAACTGTGTGAGGCTGACGAGCGATGTCCACTTGCAGGTTTCAGAAGCCACAGCTGTTTAACCAAAGGACTTTTAGCTTTTCCCCCAGTCCACATCTCACAGCTATTTTTCTAAAAGCCACAGCTCACAGCTGCTTTCCTAAAAGCCACAGCTCAACTAAACGCACCCTTAGCTTCTGTTATGATCCTTAGATCATTTGGGGATATGGATAACCATTGCCAAGAAGATGGTCAGGCAAAATCGACGTGGAGGGAGACTAGAGTATTTGTGGGAATTGGATTGTTTGTTCTTTCATCGTTCCCCTCCTGGGTACATCACCTCTCTTATAGAGAGAGAGGACTCTTGGCCACCTAAGGAAGGCCCAATCAAATCATAACAAATCATATCCAATCCTATCTCTAATTGACCCAAATATAATCCTATCTCTAACTCATCAAATGCCTCTAATCGATCCTGTGGCCCCTGTGCCCCTAATTGATGCCCCATAACAGCTTCACATTCGTCTGCCCAACAATGCTTTGCCATCGTGTAGAGCATCTAAGATATCGTGACATGTAACATCAGCAACGTCTTGATTATTGGAACCCGATATTATTCCATCTCCCTCAGTTACAGAGGCGAGTGCAACTCCATCAAGAACACCAGATATAAGATTGTCATCGACATTTTCTTTGAGTTGATTCTTTGAAGTAGCACAAACTGCTTCAGCTTGATCAGCAAAGAGAGATTTTGATTCAGAAGAGCTGCAGATGTCTCTGTAGGTATCATACTTTGCAGCTTGTGTTTGGCCTCCTTCCAAAATAGTTGACAGGGGGTGTAGAATTGAGATAGCACTATCTGCCCTCTCCAAAACAGCCTTCAAATCCAAGAAATCGTTTACGGACTCTTGTTTCTTGAACTGCACAAGGGCAGCAGTGGAATCAATGGAGAAGACGGTTGTAACCGAACCTGAACCAAATACTTTGCAGATGCAATCCTTAATTTCCTTTGGTCTAACCTTAGACGGGAATCCCCAGATGACAATGATGTTATCATACACAGCAGCTGGGTACCTTCTCATATAACCTGGTTCTGGTCTCTCCATGCCAGTGCTCAAATCAATCACTGTCCCACTGTTCCAGCTAGGGGACAAAAAATTGATGTGTTTCTGCAGCTTAGTGTTCGTTGCTAGGTTATCCAGAGGTGAGAACTGCTCAAATTTTATGTCAAGATAAGCGCACAACTGCGCAAAAATACATCCAGTCATGTATGCATCATACCCAGCTTCATGCTTGGCACCTGAAATGAAGCAAGAAGACCTGCAGGATAGCATGGCAAACAAAAGAGTACTCGGTCACTATGTTAATTTGTGAACCAACTAGGTTCAATTAAATGGAAAGCTCATAGCTGTTCTCTGTACATGCCAAAGAAGTTTTGTGCAAGTGTGTTAAATGTTATCAAAAGCATGCAAGTGTGTCAAATATCAAGGATCCAGACAAAACGTACGTCGTTTCATCTCCTTCAACTTCAATTGTCACAGGAGAATGACTTGATGGCTTCTCAGCAGATGAATAAGGTGCAGGGCACAACAATGAGAAAGCTGAAGATAGTGATTTGCTTTTATGCTTCATCAGTTTCTGAACTGCTTGATTGACAGACATAAGATGCCTGGTATCTGCAATATGTGGGAAAATTTTGTGGAAACTTAACGCAAATTCCTTGATAGATGATGGAAGAGGACCTACAAACTTGCTGTACACTTGTGCAATATCTGTTTGAACACAAAAGAAAATTTTAAGCAGCAGGAAAGTTAGTTAGAGAAATCAACAGTTCAATTGGTATCTATCGGTCCAAATTCACAGAACATCTGAGCCGAAATTTCCATGGCAGAAAATCATAAATTTTAAAATTTTGATAGCAAAATCTATAAAAAAATATATTATTTAAATCTTGGTCAAAGTTAAGGGAAAATGTCTGACTTGAGAGTTGAGACAAACGAATATGACTTATATTTATGATCGGAAGTATCTGTACGCACATAAGAGAACTACCTAGGAAACAACTATGTCCAACAATCAATTTCCTTTCTGATGAAAGAAGGTCGATGACATGGCGGATGCCTATTGCTGATTTAACTCTTTCTTCCCTGTTTTTTAGTAGATCTTCCTGCACATCTTTCTGCATTGAAGTTGAAACACCTACTGCTTAGATTGATGGAATAATGATCATAAAGATAGTAATTTTTCATAGCTTGAGCCTCTTCAATTTAAAGATAAAAGGAAAGGACAAGTGCCAGTTCCAAAATTTGGATTGCATCATTCAAACTATGACCTCCAGCTTTTGCAATAGGTTTAGTGCAGATAGAAAATTTAATGAATCATGCACCATTCCAAATAAAATAAATAAATTCTCTTACCATTAATAATATTCTGTCCTCATCAGTGTCTGAATAAACTACTTTCTTTTCAGATGTGTCATCCTCACCAAATGTACAGACAAAAACAAGATCCCTAAAGTTTTTTCTCAAAACCTGCAAGGGAAAACATGCTATATGAGCAGAAACAGAAGTAGTGTACCAAGAGTCCAAGAAACACTATTAATGTAGTAAAACATTGTGCAACAGAAAACACAATTAGTATGAAAATATCCTAAATCCAATTACCAAAGATTGTAAATTCAACATGGCAGAGTGCCAGAGTTACTAGCAAAATGACAACAGCCAAAAGTGTTGGACTTGGACAAGGACTATCTTACAAGGATTAATGCATACCTTTGATGTTTTAGAAGTAAAAAGTATCCATTCTCTTTAATGTTAAAGTTAATTAAAAAAAGAGATATGTCTATGTTCCTAAAGTGTCCCGGCCCACATTCAGCACATGCTACATTGTACAGGTTATGAGAATTTGGCCATTGGTTACTGTTAAGTGCTTTAGGACACAATAAATTGGACAGGTTTAATAAAGTAGCAACAGACAACTTTAGAAGGGGCATGTCTTCTTTTTATTTATTTTTTGTCATAAGCACGTGCAAGTCTAACACAACAAATAAAGAATAAAAAGGAGGATCACATAAGAACACTATTCAGTATTTCTTAAATGATATAACTCAGGAAGGACTACAGTATCTTTTCACAAATTAGCTGCCCAACTATCACTATATTCCAAGGTCTATGTTCTACCTGTTGAATTAACTTCAGTTGATGCGATGAGAATCCATTAAGCATAATAGCTGGGCGCATTTTGAAGAAAACTGTCTGGAATTGTCCTGCACAACATTTAATGTTTCCTGACAAATGGTTGTCAACCATTGGCTTGCTGACTATCACATCACGCCATTCCTTGAAGTTCATTTTCATCCTTTCTGTGAAAAGAATATCAGAAGCACTTTTTAAAGGTATGTCTCTGTCCTCTTCAGAATTGGTGGAAGATGTAGCTGTTTGACCATGATACAACATATTAAATTTCTGTAGCGCTTCTTCCTCTTGTGCTCTGGATAGATAAGATACTCCTGAGATTAACCAAATATTGTAAATGAACAAATGCTCCGGGAATAACATGCATGGAGCATGGTCTTATCTCTAATGTACTGGACAATGAAGAACTATAAAACGAGTAATGTGTGATAGGCACATCTTGCAATCTCCATTGAGAGAGAAAAGGCATAAAGTAACAGCTTAGCAAACTATTATAGGTAAAAGAAAGCACCTTCACGGAAGCATGTGTTGAAATCAAACTGGTACTTTGCTAGGAAGTCAATTGAAGTTGTCTGACAAAGAAATTCATGAGATGAACAATCACTAGGGAGCTCCTTGCGAGGGAAGATATAGAAGTTATGCCTGCAAGAAGAAAAAGGGATTCTTCAAAAAAAGAAGAAAAAGGTTATATCCTGGAAAATAAGTCAACTGCAAAGCTGTTTAGCAAGTGATCAAACAATCAACAACTGACGTTGAATTAGAAAGCAGTAATAAGGCAATAACTCAATCTACTGCAAAGTGAAAACCATCACAACTGAGATACTGAAAGAGGGAATGTCATTGTATGATGAAAAGACTGATGCAGACAGAGATACAGAGCAATCTATATTGGGCATGGGTAGTGTTGGACATGTGTCAGGACCAGGGCTGGGACCCCATAAGTTAATACAATTTCCACTGGAAATTTTTAAATTCGATCAAATTTTGACAAAATTTGTACTGCTCTCACCGCTAACAAAGGAAAATTCGCATTTGCCTCTGGTGCCAGAGCAGCATGAGTGTGCACCACGGTAGACTGTGCAACCTAGTTTGGCAATCAGAAGTTTCTGCAAGGTAAAACATGTTCATGATCCATTTTTTTATCAACATTTTCCTTAGGTTTCTCAGAACTCCATTTCCGTTGCTATCTACTATGAGCTTATCACTGCAGAGCATTGCACGAAGCGCAGTAAGCCAAACTAATAGTTATTGTTTTCTCACACCTACAAAACAGCCCCCAATGTGGCTCTCCTCCTAAATATCACCACGAAACTTTCTACAGGAAATAAGGCCAAAATGTTGCCTGCAGCACAAAAATGTGCTAGTCGCAACCCCCCAAAACCTCAATAAGATATTCAGAATCCTTAGCTACTAGTGGGTTACTAGAACATGAAGGAGATTGGGGCGAGACAAAGAGGCACGCACGGGTGCGCAACGAAGGCGGATTTGGCAGGGTCCCATCGGAAGGGGCAGACGCCGAGCTGTAGGGCGGCGAACCGCTCCGCGGAGTCGCGGAGTTTGAGGTAGCGCACGTCGGCGCGGTCGAGCTCGAAGGTGTCTCTCCAGGGCGCGCTCGTGACGCCGCTCATCTCCAGGTCCACCCCCACGAATGCGGCCTCCCGCACGCGTCCCCGCAGCTTCTCCAGGGCCTCCGCCATGTTCCCCCGCGTCACCTGCTTCACCGCCACCCCGCCACCGCCACCGCCGTCGCCTCCGGGCGGCGGGGAGGAGATCGCGCGGTAGAGTAGGATTCTGGGCGGCGGCGCCCGGAGGACGCGCCGGAGGCGGCCCTGCACCTGCATGGCCGCCGCCGTTGCTGGAGAGAGGGTGGAGCGGTGAAGGCACGCGGCGGTGGGTTGGGCTTGATTTGGTCTGATGGATGGGTGGAGTCCTGCTTACCATATGGCCCATCTTCTGGAGTCTAAACTTGGGCTGTATCTGAAGTTTCGACATTGTCGCAGCCCGGTTTTTATTTGATTTATTATATATGGAAAAAAAAAACTTGGGCTGTATCTGAAGTTTCGACATTGTCGCAGCCCGGTTTTTATTTGATTTATTATTATGAAAAAAAACAGTGCGGATCAAGCCTAGATAAGCAAAATCAAGCTGCTTGCAATTACATCCAACTTATTATTGAACATATATCATGTGCAGTAAAATCTGTATTTATTTTGAGATGGTTCGGTCACAAAGAAACAGCAGCATGGGGATTTGGAGAAGTTCCTGGTCAGGTAAACAAAACGACCGATCAAAACTCTGCGGAAGGGTGGATTTCTGATTGCACCGCTCCATTTTCTCCCCTACACAAAATGATGCAACCCCGGAGTTGCGTTTCTCGCTTATTCTGCTTGCTCTTCTGCGCCTTCTTTAGGTAGCACCAGCGTGCGAGATATCTTTGCCGAAAAGCCCAGCGATTGCTTTCCCTGGATCCTCCTGCTTGATGAGGGATTCCCCGACGAGAACCTACAGCAGACACAACGGAGGAGTCAGATCAGTACGAAGAGCAAGGAATGCCAAGTCGCCAGTTGAGCCTGGTGTCAGTTTACAGGTATCTCTGTCTCATGGCTTACCGCTTTCACCCCAGCGTTTTGAACGAACGAAATGTCATCAGGAGTGAATAGCCCAGATTCTCCTACAACCTGAAACATTGAAAAGAACGTGAATGCTCGATGCAAGTACTTCCTGTTTAGATGACATTAACAATGTGATAACTGTCCCAATTGTAGCGAGGATGTCACAAATTACTAAGTAAACATAGTTGTAGAATATTAGCATTCCAAGACTATATAGGATTGTAGTTCACTGACTCATTCTATCTGTTTGTACAAGAATCTGCGCAACGTATGTTTTGTGAAAGTGTGATCTGTGAATAGTTATAGTAAGATGCAGAGCTCTGCACAGGTAATAACATGGAGCGCGAATAATAGTCATAGCCAGAGACAGAGAAAGCATACTTTTTTTTTCTTTTTTTGCTTTTCACTAGACTCATGTCAAAGAAAATACTTACAATTACATCCTTTTGAGATATAATTTGTCCTCGTTCACCCTCCAGAAGCTTTTTTGTGTTTGTAATATCAACTTCAAATGTCTCTGGAAAAGGAAATGTCCTCAATGACTTATTCAACCTAATAACATGATATGGAGCATTACAGTAGAATATAATGTCTATACGAATCTATTCCAACAGTGAACACATTATCATGTTATGTCTAGATTGACCGTACATTTCCCCCAATCACTAATTTACTATGCAATAGAATCTTCATTGGTGTCATTTGAGATGCGTAAGCCAATGGTTTAATACCTGAATGAATCAACAAGCTTCCAGGTGATAAAATAGACAAAAGACTTATCTGGTATCACTAGGAATTGAATTCAGTGTTAAAAGTTTAATAAAAAACAGCGTACCAAGATTACGGTTATTGATGCCGATGAGCTGTACACCATCGATCCCTAAAACACGGTCCATTTCCCTTTCATCATGAACCTTCAGTAACACAGTCCAGTTGAATCACTAAATCAAATGACTCAAGACTTGAGAGAAACAAGAGGTGGCTGTTGAAACAACATATAAAACATATAGCAAGAACAACTCAGCTAACCTCAACTAAAGCAGCCATCCCAAGTATTCTGCAAATTTTCAACATGTATTTGATATCACGGTCAGGTAATACAGCAGCAATTAGAAGAACAGCGTCCGCGCCCTTGGACCGTGCATAGTAAAGTTGCCAAGCATCAACAATGAACTCTTTGCACAGAAGAGGACACTGCATTTAGTAATTCAGAACTTCAGCTATTCATGCACTTAAAGTACCCTGTCAGGATATCATTGATTTCCCAAATCAAATGTATGTATGTAATTTGGACACAGCACCTGTACTCCAGCATTGCGTATAGCCTCCAAGTTGTCAAAACTTCCCTGATTACATATTACAGGAAAACACGTGTCTTCAGCATATATATAACTTATTGATGATAGAAATGGGAGAGAACTTCCAAGGTGAAGAAATGAATGACCTGAAAGTACTTTTCATCTGTAAGAACACTAAGGCATGCTGCTCCATTTTTCTCATATGCCTGAGCGATCTGAACCTGTTTATGTCCCAACAAGCATTATCAGACAGCAAGAGAAGCTGTTTGGCTTCAAAACAACATCATGTATGTCCATTCGGATTTCAGAATGTCAACAAGTAAAACCAATCACTATCACTAGGCATTGGTCAAAAGCAACATGAATCAGATGACTTCTGCCCACTTATTTCCCAGTTTTTTTAGCAGGCGTGCAAACATATATGGGCCAACTTCAATACTTGGCTATTCCAATCTTTGCATCTCTCTGAAGGTTCATGGCACATGTGTGATATAAAGGAATGGGCCGAATGGCACCCTGGCATCCTCAGGTTCCGTTGTGTTATTAATTATTAAGTACTATTTGACTTATTCTGTCACTGTCGACAATCAGTTCAATCAATAATAGTATATCAGGTTTAAATTAGTGCAGTTCCACAAATGAGTTCCCAGGACAAAACAAAAGGATCAATTCGCATATATATAACAGATATATGAACTTATATACATAACAAGAAATGAAATGATTGGATTTACTCCTGCCAAAATTTAGCCATACCCTAAACTCACCGGATCAAAATTCTCCCTGATAACACCCCGGCTTGGTGAAGCCTTCTTGACCTCCGCAATCAGAGCAGGCAAGCCAGTCCGATCATAGGACGCCTTGAGCGCCCCAACGAAGTCCCTGGCGCGGGGAGCAGCCTCAAGCGGGCCCTTCAGCATGTACAGGGGCCTCCTCTCCTTCATCTGGCATCACAAAAAAACTCACACCGCGTCAGCACGAGGCTAACCCACGCGCGGGCTTATCATCACCTCACTCTCGTCCAATCATCCAGACGTGCCTTCGAAACCTCGACGTCCTTGTCCCAGATGATCTTCTCGAGGATGTTCCGCGGCGTGTTCCCCTCGTTCTCGAGGCGGAACTGGAACGGACCCACGTAGTGCACCGCGGGCCCCGTCACGGGCCGCCGCCGGATCCTTATCCCGTCGACGCCCGCGACCTCGGCGGAGTCCGCGGCGCCCGCCACGGGGCTCCCGTTGCCCCCTTGCTCCGTGTCCGTGGTGGCCCCCGCGTCGGCCTCCGCAGCGTGCGAGCTCGTCGCGACCTCATCCACCTCGGCGTCCTGCACGACACCCACACGAACCTCACAACTCGGAATTCGAGGCGAACCGAGATCGAGAGTGGTCGACACGGGGGATCTAGCGCGGAAAGCTGACCGTCTCCGCGCTGGTGCAGCGGATAGGCGTGGGGCTCGGGCGGCCACCGGCAGCGGCGGCGTCCATGGAGGCCGCCGTGAGGGGGCGCTTTGCTGCGGTGGCGGCGAGGGTTCCGGGGCGGCGGAGGTGGGAGTATCTTGCAAGGGCAGCGAGGCCCGGCCGGGGAGGCGCGGATCCGATAGCTAGTGCTTCCATCCGAGGCGCCCGCAGCCGCAGCCGCAGCGGAGAGCAGAGCAGAGGTGGGCTGGCTAATTGGATTGGGGTGGACGTTAGCCGTTGGGCGTCGTACACTAGCGAGCCTTCCCGCTGCTGTACTGGTGGCGTCTCAGTCTACAGGTGCCAGTCGTCCACGATACGCGGTCTAGCGCTAGCAGCGCCTGCATCAGTTGGGCAGGGACTGGCCTGGGGGAGAGGGCGCCTGACACCCGCGACAATCGAGATATGATGGCTGAAAAGACTGTCGCTGATTTGAGAGAAAAATATCGTAACTCAGTCCATCACAAGCTTCTGAAACTGAACTGCAGCATAGCAAAGCGCAGAAAATTCACAAGAAACACATCCATTTTGTAGAAACCGAGAGAAATGTAAGGCGCCGAACAAGAAAATAAGGGGTCCTTGCCACGTTCCATGCCAAAAGTTGGTGATGTGTGCACTAACAGGCGCACAATTGGCACATCCAGACTACTACAGAATGCCTCCAGTGTTTTGGATAGTATGCACTGATTCTACATAAGCAAATGGCCAGCGACAGCACTGCAACAACATTATGTCTTATAATCCATACTTTTTAGCTTGTTGTTTCAGTGGGAAGAATATTTTTCTTTCACAATAAATCAATCAAAACAATATTTCGGCTTGTTTTTTCAGCGAAGCGAACGGAGTCATAAGGGAATACCACTGACAGTAGTAGGCTACAACCAAAGCGTGTCACCCTGCATCCTTGCAAGATGCCCCCTCCATGCAAAATGCCAATGAGCACACTGGCAGCACATAGAAAAACCACACATCTGTTCGATTCGTTTGCAAGGTTGTTCCTGCATATTCGAGCAGCATCCCTGCTCAATCCCTGATCTCTGTGGCATGGATTCGGTACGTTCTGCTGCCCCAGATATCGTTTTTGTCCTTATAGTATGACATCAAGCAACACCATATCCAAGGTGGATTCCTGGTCAAGGAGGCACCTTCCTCGCTGTCTTCTGGTTCTGGGTTGCCCAGTAGCTTGTTCATCTTCTTTTTTAACAGCTTCTTCGGTCAGAAAACCACCGAAGAATTTGACCTGCAGATGAAGACATGATCACCTAATTCAGCTAGACGTTTAAGCATCCATAACCCTTTTACCACCAGCACTGATTTTTTTTCACTAGTGATGAGTGTGGACACCTGGGGCGGTCTGTAGACTGTAGACAAGGAAATCAAGCATAAGGGTTATTTACTAATATATTACCATCTCATCCTTATGGACAAACGCATGAATTCTCGCTGTAGGATCCTCAAGAGTCAACCGCATACAATGTCCAGTTGAAAGCAAAAAATGGACTTCACTAGGATGACATGGATATGCTCCCACAACACGGACCAAGGTTTTCAATTTGTGTGTCACCTAGCACAAAGAAAAAGGAGATATTGAAGCCGGTTAGCTTTAGAGTCATATAGTTCAGAACACTCACGGTTCTGTATTAATTAGGGAAGTAAAATATATAGTTCTCTTGAAAAGGAAGAGATAAATCACTGGGATACAACTTAAAGTAAACATGCTCGCATGTTCTCAGGGGTGTTGGATAATATTAGACCAAATCGAAAACAGAAATAAAACTAATAAATAACTGGAGAAAAGTGGGAAAGAAGTAATACCTCATCATGAGTTAAAGACTCCATTAACGTTGAGTAACCTGCTTTCTTATATTCTACATCTACACCTGACAGAATTGATAACAAATTGTCATGAGGCAAAGCCTTTGTGGCAACAGATGGCAGCAAAAATGCATTACAACATTATGCAGCGCTTCATCATCAATATAATACATGTAAACGAGCATTTTAACAAGATCATGTGTTTCATTTAGATCTCCATATATACATACCACACCAGAAAAAATATTGAGGTTTGTTTTTATGCACAACATTCATATGCAAATAAAACAGGGGTGCTATATTATACACTTATTCAGGTAACAATGAAGATAAGGCCTGATGAACAAACTTAAATATTGCTATTTTAATCAATTATAAATGCTGAATCAGAAGCTAAATTCATGATCTGAACAATGGAACAGAATATGTTCATCAGTGATTCAGAGGAGCAGTGCAAACTATCGGACTATGCTCTATACCAGTAACATTAGAGGGGATGCCTGTCATCGGCCGGCGGTGAACTTTGTTGGCGTTGCGGCTGTCATACATCCTGGAGGTGTTCATGTAATTGGTAAAATTTACTTATATAATGTCCAAAGAACATTAAAATTCATCAGAAAAGAAGATTACTTCAGACGATCAACAACGCTACCATCTTCATGAGATAAAAGGCGAATTCTACTAGTGGCCAGCAAAATGCCTTTCCAAATGCCAAACTCTTGCTTGCAAGTAATATTGCAGAACCTGGCCCAATAAATACCCTTTTGCATGTGTAATACTTCCTTGATAAACCTGTTTGAATAAATCCTCAGAACAGTTCCGACACATGGCATTGTGCACAAAACCTCCCTGGGTAGAGGTGGTCCTTCAAGTAGAGGGGGTGACTGAACTGCCTCAGCATCCAAACTATATGTTCACCAATCAATAGCAGAGGCACAAAAAAAAGGTAAGTTAAGTGAAAATAGTGACGTGACTGACATCAGCAAATGTTTTTCTAAGATAAGACTTATTTTGTTTTCATTGACCATGCTTAAGTTCAGTGCACCATATAAGAATAACCAAATAAAGATTAAAAGCTGCAACAGTATTTCAAAAACACTAGATAATCCTATATTGTATAGATGGTTTTCTTAGTTATTGCTGAAAAAATTATTAGAAACAATAAATAAACATAGATAATCCTACATTGCCTGAAACTCAGCTGCAGGGGTATCAGTTCCATCCCAAACATAAAAAATCCATTTGCCGCTATCTTCATGGACATGAACAACCTATAAGAAGGCAGAGGGAATTTTTTGGAGCACTCCCTGTACCAAAATAAGTCTTGAGTTTCAATATGATTGAATAAAGAACTAACCTTGCATACTAGATCAAAAGTAGAATCAGACTTTAAACTCCTTAACTGCAATTCGAGATCTTCCAGACCTGCGGTGCAAAGTAGTTAGATAGAAACAGATGTTACAAAAGTTGCTGGTAAAGCATTGTTAGGGACGTACTAGTTAAGTATTTCATGAATCTCTGCACGGAAACAAAGATAGACAAAGAATACATGCTATAATTAAAGGTATATATCCTAAAGAACGAGAATAGCATATATCACTTGTAGGGAGAGCAGATAGTTAAAAAGTAATATAAGTTCACTGCAAGAAGCTGGCAATCTAACAAAATAGGAACAATTGTAGATAACAAAATTCAACCTGTTGTTGCGTTTGATTGAAAGGCAGGCAGAGACCGACCTTAACTAAGGGCTAAAATGAGATAATGCAAGTTATGTTAAAACTTATAATTTATAAAATACTTAATTCCATTGGGTAAGAAGAGTTCATAAATAGAATGGCTGCAGTATACTATTTGATCCTACATAAATTCAAGTGAATCATGCTAATTGGTGAAGGGCGGGCCTGGTGCAAGCGGTAGAGTCTTACCGCCTGTGACCAGAAGGTCCCGGGTTCAAGTCGCGGTCTCCTCGCATTGCACAGGCGAGGGTAAGGCTTGCCACTGACACCCTTCCCCAGACCCCGCACAGAGTGGGAGCTCTCTGCACTAGGTACGCCCTTTAATCATGCTAATTGGTGGGACCAAGAAATAGGAAACTGAATTAGCCTTTCAGCCCCACAAGTATGATAGTTAGGCTGGCTTCTCATTTGGATAAGAACATGTTCACCACCATGATATTTCATTGACACATAAAACTGGAGTGGAATGAGCACGATTAAGGCACCACAGAAAATATCATGCACATGGGTGGACCAAATAAATCATCAAAAGTAATTATCGATTAGGAGTCACCAAGAGGATTATATGCAAGCCACGTTCTCTGCTGGGTTAAAAGTTCTTTGTCATCTATGCCGCCACGATATTTCATAGAAGACTGATATGGGCTGCACTCAGCAAATACTTTGCTTTCAAATAGCGCGAATGAAGAAAACTTTTTGTTAAATGTAACAAAGAACTCCCCATGCATTGTTATCTGCATATCAAAGTAGGCATGAAGTAGGTGTTGTCAAATGTGTTATGCTTAAATAACCACGCATAAAAAGGTATGTGGAAGTTTATAGCTCTGAGAAATACCCAGTGACAAATGGCATAATTTAATAGAGTTTTATGCTGTACCATGACGTTATGGAGACTGATCACATCTCCACTTGACTTAACACAGGGCAATAGGGCAGTGTCGTCAGCAAAAAATGTAGCAGAGATTCCAGCCGTGCTTGATTGATCCACAATCCTCAACGTAAGAGTGAAATCTGCAAAAACTATAGCCATGACCAAGGGTTCTAGCATTGATTTGAGTATCAAAAGTGAGACTTAGCAATGAACGTGACAACAAAAGGTCCCTCTCAATGCATAATGCTTCATGCAAAAAGTTGCAAAAGAGGCGATCTAAGGACAAGCGGACAAGCTAAAGCATGTGTCCCCTCACAACAAGCAAGCAGCAATTTAAGCAGAGAACTAATCCTAATCAACACTATTCAACAAATCATTCCAAATATACACTTCTCTAATTTCACAGCGAAAAATCACAACGGAACCCCACAAATTTCCCTTCCTCCACAGCATTTGTGATCGAGAACAAACCCTAGGTGAACACTTTGTGAATCAGACTGAAGAATAACTGAAGAAGGAAACATACAGCCTGCAACAGCTTAAGCACAAGCTGTCAACTCTCACCCTGCTAAAATCCGGACTAAACCCTAAGATGAGGCCGACGGCTGGTGCGCGGAAGGAGAGAAGGGGAGGGGTTGAGACTTAAGAGTGAGGCTCACCCGTGCCACGGCTGCGGACGGCTGTGCCGATCTCGGAGACGACGGCGACGATGCAGACCCGGACGCCGGGAACCTTGAGGGCGTCGGCGATAGACAGGTACGTGTACTGAGGGTCCCCGGCCGCCGCCGCGGCGGAAGTAACCGCGTCGCCCTCACCCCCGCTAGTGCCTCCTCCATAGCTTGGGTGTGAGTGACTGTAGCGTGCTGCGAGCAATCCTGGACCTGTTTGATTTAAGGTGCTGTTTGGTTCACCACAAGGGACAGGAACTTTCCGCCGCTACCTGTTGCAAAGCAATGGATAACGCCATTTGTTTGGGAGTTCAGCAAAAGCAACGGGTGCTGCATTAGGGATAAGAATGCATACGAAAGAACACACGCACCTTTACCTGATCCTCCCAGATCCAATTGGTACAGGTCGTCCTCTCCCCATGCCCCTCTTGCAAACCTTTCCTTTTTCACTGAAAATCCCATCAAAATAAAGAACAGAACCCACGGTTAGGGTTTAAGAAAAGTGTTGATGTCAAAGGAATAGGAGTCGGGGGAGGGAGAGCGGATGGGATAGGATGCGCCATTCTCACCGTTGAAGCCGGGCCGGAGCCGGAGAAGAGAGGAGCGGTGGAGATGCGGCTCGAGAGAGTCAAGCGGAGAGCGCCGTGGCGTGGACAGGGGCTGCGTGATGCGGGTAGCGCTGGAAGGGATATTTAAACTTTTTTTTTTTTTTGGCAACGGCGTCGCGACTTGGGAGAACGGAGCGGCGGGAATCATCGGGTCCGAACGGCCGGACCCGATGCTTCCGCCGAACAGCGCGCGCGGGAACCGAAGGTGCGCGGGAAATCGTCAGGTTCCCGCTGACTCAGGTACGTTCCGTACGTAAGTTTCTTTCCTTTTTTTCTTTTTTTCTTATTCTTGTCATTTCTTTCATTTTCAATTTCTTTTTCTTTTTCTTTTATTTTCTTTCTCCTTTTTTTATTTTTGTGCTTCATTTTTTATATTTTGTTTCTTTTATGTTTTATGTGATGTTTTATTATTCTTTTCATTTTTATGTTTATTTTATTTCTTTTTCTTTTCTTCTTATTTTTCATTTCTTTTCTTAAATTTATATTTTACTTTGTATTTTGTCGTTTCATGTGATTTTTCATTATTATTTCATTTTTATATTTTTATTTATTTTATTCATTTTTTGCTTTTATTATTATTAATTATTTTGTTTGTCTTATTTTATTTTTATATTTTGTTCCTTTTTTGTATTTCTTTCTTTTTTTTTTTCTCTTTTGTCTTTATGTTTTCTATAGATTTTTAAATTTTCTATTTTTCTATTTTACCTTACTTAGTTAATTTTTCATGTTTAATTTTTTATTTTCTATATTTCATGAGATGATATATTCATATAGTATGGATGCCATGTTCTCTTATGTGTTTTACGATGTTCACATGTTATATAATGTCATGTTCTATGATGTTTTTTATGATGTTCATATAGTACATATGTGATGTTCTTTGTTTTTTTGTGATGTTCACGTGTTATACATGTGATGTTCTGTGATATTTTTTTAATGTTCACGTGATATACATGTGATGTTCTATGGTGTATTTTGTGATATTCGCGTAGTATACATGTGATGTTCACGTAGTATACAATGATGTTCTATAATATATTATGTGATCTTTTATGATATATTTTGTGATGTTCACGTGGTATAGATGTGATGCTCTATGTTATATTTTGTAATGTTTCACATAGTATATATGTGATGTTCTAGTTATGTTTTAATGTTCCATGATTATTTTTGAGTATTCATATAGTACATATGAAGATGATGTGTGATATATTTTTTGATTTGATATGGTTTAATAATGGAAATATTTAATATTTACCACAAACATTAATATGTTGTAGTGGTAGGAGTATTTTGTGAATATTTGTTATTTTTCTTTAGATGAAAAAAGAAGCACCTAGAATAGTTTGCAGGCAAGAAAAATTATAGACGCCGGAAATTATCGGCGCGGGCACGGAGTTACGACTGCGAGTGCGAGCGCGGGTGGGCAGGAAAAATTAGAGGCGTGGGGTCGCGGGCGAGGGGAAAGGGCGGGAAAAATTAGCTGAGGTCACGGGCGGGCGAGAAAGGGCATGAAAAATTAGCGGCGCGGGATTACTGTCCAGTTGATCGGACCCTAGGACCCCCACGGAGTGGGTGAAAGGTCCTTGTGTGGTTTTGGTAATTCAGTGACAACCTAGATGGACTAATTGTGTTTATGTGAGATACACAGGTGATTAGTCCACATGTATATGTGTGTGAGCAACATATGCCATGGAGATGGAAATAGCTCGAAGATGTTGCAAAGCTCACACATATGATGATGAAGGAGCATATTGCACATGAGACATGACATTGAGTTATGTGATCAAGGTGGAGAAGATCAAGACAAGACTTTGCTTGATGGACCAGTTGCAAGCGTGAAGGGCAAGTCAGAGGTTTTGGAGCGATGGACCGCGTGGCGGTAAAGGTAAAGCTTGAGCAAGACTTGGCGTCGATGGATGAAGACAACGGTGAAAAACAAGTGAAGTCAAGATTGATGAACCAATATAATCACATGATGATATGAAGTGGATCATATCATTGTTGATCGTGTTGGTGCATGTGTTGCATTAACATTAGAGGAGATGAAATGAAATGTGCAAGGCAAAGGTATAACCTAGGGCATTTCATTTCATCGGTCAAAGGTGTGTAGAGAAGTTGATGACCGGATTTAGGATAGATGGCCGTACTATCAAGAGGGGCAAACTTGTTTGCATATCGGTCATCTAGTGCCACTTGAGTGATCTAACGTTGCATCGTCACTAGGATTTTGTGGCGTGATAAGTTGAGTGGCTAATCCTTTGGGAAATGATTGTGAAAATGCTAACACACATACACATGGTAGTATACACTTAGTGGTGTTGGCACATTTACAATGGAGAAGAAGTTGGAGTTGACGTGGATCAACTCGGTAATGAAAAGAGTTCGAAACTTCACCGATGGAGTGTCCGGACAGTCCGATGGTGCCACCGGCGCCCTGTACAAAAAAGACAGGGTTTCACAGAGTGCATCGGACACTGGTCATACAGTGACCGGACGCTGGAGTCCTACATTCGGTCAGTGGCAGCAGTGAAGGCGCAGGCGTCGGTCTTCGACCGAACGCTGGGTCACTTCATGACCGGACGCTAGGTGGGTGCGTTCGGTCCTATTGACGTGGCAGCATAGAGAAGAGGAGAAAGGACCGGACGCTGATGCTGCGTCCTATTGTGACCGACCAGACATGTCCGGTCGTAAAACAGAGGCTCGGGGAGCTCTCTAGAAACGACCAGACTCTGGCTGGTCTACATCCGATCGTGCAGCAGCGGTGTGTCCGGTCATGAATGGAATCTCTCTAGAAATGATCGGACTCGGTAGAGGTGCGTCCGATCTTGGCACTGTGATGCGTCCAGTCATCACTTGACCATTGAGATCAAGCGACTGAGGTTGAACGGAGGTGAGACGTGACATGCATCCGTTGACTAGACGCTGGCAGGGTGCATCCGGTCGATCTGACCGGAGCGTCCGGTCACCCTGAGCTGTGCCCAGTGAAGGAGTAGAACGACTCTATTTTCGTGGGGGCTATAAATAGAAGTGTTGGTTGGCTTTTGGCCGAAAGCTTGGTAGAGCTGAGCACACTAGAGATTTGGTGGCTTATGTGGTAGTGCTTGGGAGCCATCTAACTCACTCTAGCTTGATAGTGTTCATCCGATTGAGTGAGTGAGGAATTCTAGTGCGATTGCATCGTGAGATTACATCGAGTGGCACTAGGTAATCGAGTTGCAAGACGGTGGTGCTTGTTACTCCTGGAGGTTGCCACCTCCTAGACGGCTTGGTGGTGGTCTCTGTCGAAGCCCGCAAGAAGCTTGTGCGCTGCTCCGGAGAAGAGCTTTGTGAGGGGTATTGTGCTCGCCCCGCGAGAGCCGCGAAGAGCAACTCTTGTAAAGTGTGTCATCGAGCTACCCTCACTTTCGGGGTAGGTTCTTGCGGTGCCCGACATGTGGGCTTGGCAGGTGATGCCAATTAGCCACCGAACCACCAAGTGAGCGGTCGACACAATGGGACTAACGTGTTGGCAAGCACGTGAACCTCGGGAGAAAAATCACCTTATAAACATTGTTCTTTGTGTTGGTTTGCAATCCTCTTAAACAAGCTTGTAATTACTTTCATATACTTATGCTTGTGTAGTTGCTCTTATAATTAGTTAGCTTGTGTAGCTCACTAGTTACCTTCTTATTTGTGTAGCATAGAAGTAGCTCCTTTACGTGGTTAATTTGACTTGTGTAACCTTGTTAGTCATATTGCTTAGTTTGTGTAGCTAAGTATTTGCGTTCTCTAATTTGGCATTGGTTGTCTTGTTATTGAGCATTGCTAGTGAGCTTAGGTGGCTTTGTGCTTTTGCTTACTAGCATGGTAGGAGCTCCCTCACTGCTTAAAGTACTAGTGGTATAGGTTCGTGTGACCTTGCTTCTAGAATTGGTTAGGTGAGCTCTAGCTAGCCCGGCATCTTTGTTGCTTAATTAGGATCTTTACAAGGTGCTAGAGAATATAGATAGAGGGGTATAGTCTTGGCTAGACCGATTGTTTTAATTCTATATTTATTTCGGTTAGCCGGTGCGATTAAGTTTTAGAAACGACTATTCACCTCCTCTAATCGCCATCTCGACCCTACAACGGGTAGGGCTAGAGGGATATTTATTTATTTATTTTTCGTTTTGCCGTTATCCCCATTGGTGTCTCTTCAAAATTCTATACCACTCCGCTATAAATTAAGGGGATGTTTAAATCTAGGAGCTAAAGTTTAGGAGTGTCACATCGAGTGTTTTGAAAGTAATAATGAAACAAATTACACGAGTCCTCAGTAATCTGCGAGATGAATTTATTAAGCCTAATCAATCCGTCATTAGCATATGGTTACTGTAGCACCACATTATCAAATCATGGACTAATTAGGATTAAAAAATTCATCTTGAAAATTAGTCTCAATCTGTGCATTTAGTTTCGTAATTAGTCTATATTTAATACTCCATGCATGTGTCCAAATATCCGATGTGATAGGGGCTAAAGTTTTAGTCTATATTTAGTTTCATAATTATATGTTTTACTCCAGTTGAAGAGACCAATGTTAATGAAAAAAATTACACATATACTCGTATAAAAATATAATCGGTGCACCTAGAGAAGAGAGAAAGTAAAAAGACAACTAGAGTTAGTAGTGCCATACCTAGAATTACACTTATTTTGGACAAATTTTGAACTCTAGAAGTACACTTATCATGGAACAGAGGAAATTTAATACTATGGATGCAAAATTTATATCCTATTTTTTCGGCTTGTACCCTACCTTGCATTTTTTTCTCCTCCACGTTTCTGATTTGTTTTAATTTTTTTGTTATGCTCGGCTTTCAAGTTTATAATTTAAATTTATTTTTGTTTTTTTACCATTGTGCTTGTTTTTTTTTATTTTTTCGGTTGTTTCTATTTTTCTCTCTAAAAGTTGTTTTCATTTCTCTCTCCACTCCGGTTTTGGGACCGATTTTCTGTCTTGTATTTTTTCGCCTCCTTCACATTTTCGATTTGTTTCCATTTTTTCTTATCCTCGGTTTGTATGTTTCTGATTTGTTTTCAATTTTTACCATGCTACTCATTTTTCACTTTTTTTGTTTGATTGTTTCCGGTTCTTGTCACTGATAGTTGTTTCCATTTTCTCTC